GGGGGGGGGGGGGGTTTTTTTATTTTTTCTTAAAAAATTAAGGTAGGAAGGCAGGGTTTTCTTTAAGCTGAGGGCAAAGTCTTTGGTCCTTCTGGGCATTACCTTCCAAGCTCCCTCCAGCCAGCGGCCCCAGGATGCCTAGCAATTTTCCCTGGGGTTGAGTCTGGCCCACAAGACAAAACCGTGGGGTGGTGTCCACAGTCATGCCTGGGAACAAGGGAGTGGGGGGTGGAGGTCAAATGCTGTCAACCCCCCCTTTGCAGCTGAGATTACTTTATTCACTCATCACTTCTACCCACAGCACGTGGTCCCGGCATACACACAGGTGTGGCCTGTTCTCTCGGAGGTCTCAGTCCCCTGAGAGACTAGTAAACGAGACGGATGGCCTGGGCAGAGGGCATGGGCTTGGGAGGAACAGCCATATCTAAGTTGTCAGCAGGGGTGGCTCACTCTGGGGGCCTGGGGTTGGAGGGAGCCCTCAGGTCTCACCTAAACACCCTCTGTGTTCAATCAGTGATACGGAGAGTCCTGGCTGAGCAGAGGATGTCTGGGGACGAGCCGCCATTCTTCCCTCCAGCCACCCCACATTCTATTTTTACGTAAGACCTCATGAGCTCGCACCCACAAAAATGTCCCCATGACTCTGGATTTGAGCAACGGTTAACGTTAGAAATGGCTTCTTAAAGTTTGATCTTTTTCTTTGTAAAACAGTTACATCCACTTAAAATATAGTTCCTGTTAAAAAAGTCTCAGCAGGACCAGAGCTCCACCCCTCCATTCTGGAGGACGGCAGGCGACCCAAAGCACCGTTCTTTTTTAAATCCAGCAAATCAATTAGTCAGCACACGGGTTGTCTTTCCATCCTGCCGAACTCACCAGCGGGTCTCCTTCAGCGTCGCTGGGGGGCATCTGCTTGCTGGCCGAGCCCTCCCGAGGCATGGAGTAGCCGTCGAAGCCGACATCCTCGGGCCGGAGCTGCAGCAGGGGAGGCCACTCGTGCTGCTGCGGGCTGGCCGCCCAGGGGTAGGTGTCCATCACCCACTTGGCAGGGTCCTCCCAGGGGGCCCGCCTTCCGTAGAGCTAAGGGGAGGCCAGGAAGGAATGGTTAGGAGGGGGCTCAGACCTCCTCTGCAGCCCTGTTTTGCAGCTTTCCGGAAAGTTCCCCGAACGCAGCGTTATGCCTCCCCTGACAGGGTAATTCCACTTCCAGAATGCTACTGTAAGGGAGTCATCCAAGGTGCAGAGTGGATGTGCTAAGACCAAAGGCAGCATGACTCAGGTGTCAGGAACACCGGCTCTGGAGTCAGGCTGACGGGCTCACGCCTCAGCTCTGCCACTGACTCACTGCTACCCTAACTCTGAGCCTGGCTGATCTACCTGAATGGTGGCCAGCTTCCGTGGTAGAAACAGTCCCAGCACAGCCAATGTCAGACTACCAACACGACCTCACTGAATGCAGAGCTGGAAAGAGGGGCCGGCTATCAGCTCCAGCGCCCTCCTGCGTTACTACCAGATCTAGCACCCTACTGTGTCACCACCAGCTCCAGCACCCCCCTGCATTACCACCAACTCCAGCACCCTCCTGCATTACCACCAGCTCCAGCACCCTCCTGCATTACCACCAACTCCAGCACCCTCCTGCATTACCACCAGCTCCAGCACCCTCCTGCATTACCACCAGCTCCAGCACCCTCCTGCATTACCACCAGCTCCAGCACCCTCCTGCATTACCACCAGCTCCAGCACCCTCCTGCATTACCATCAGCTCTAGCACCCTCCTGCATGCAACCACCCAGAGAATTCCTCCCGCTGGCCACCGACACCACAGGCAGAGGTCACAAGTGACCCTGTTCTGGTAAAACCTCATTTCTTGAGGAGGGTCTGACTCTCACAGTCCCTCTGTAAACTTTCAAAACAGCGGACTGTTAACAGAGGTTACGTGTGGGTGGTGCTTCTCCCCGCCCATATATTTCTCAAATTTTTCCATATTAACTAATTTGCTCTTAAAAGGGAAAACGATATTATCACTTAATTTTGTAAGACCGCTACCATGCCTCCACATTCCTTTCTTTAAGCTTTAATGATAAAACGATTTTAGCAGTGAGTCTCAGACAGGATTCTGTGAAGGGGGCCTGTGCGTGTGCGTACGCATCTGTGTCAGAGAGAAAGGGAACACAAACATTTGGGGATATTTGGAATCGAAAAAGGCTGTTCCAGATTAGGAACATTCCTGCAATTTTTAGAAACTTCTCCCTCCAAGGGCCTTCCCCATGGAAATGGCCTGCTTTGCTCGGGCCAGACTTCACGTGGGTGAGGCTGCACCCAAGCCCCATTTCTGACAGCTCCTGCTTCTGTCTCCACCCTCCCGCCTGGAGGAGACGCTCAGGGCTGCAGCACCACAGAGGCTGGAAGGGGGAGGTCAGCCAGTCCTCAGAGGGAGTCTGGCCTGGTGGTTTTCAAATATGTGCCCTTCTCCCCTGACCCCATCACTGAAGAATCTGAGAAACTTTTGGGCTCAACGGAAGACAGCCTGAAAAACACTCTTTGGGCCCAAACTTTTCAGAGCACAGATGGGTACCCTAGAGAAGGGAGACTTGCCCCAGTCTCAGAGCAACCGGGTAATCTGATAAAGCGCCCGCGCCTCCCTCCATGGGGGGTGGGGGAGACAACGACGACGACACAAAGACCTTTCGAGTTACTCTGTAGACTAGACACTTTCGCAAATGTTTACAGTGACAACTCCAG